CCTCTTAAACTACCCTTAGCTTCATAACTCTGCACTAACTCCCATAGCTGAAGGTAAAGTTAGCTTAGAAGTAGCTGAATACAAGCATTAGCTGTTATTTTGTGGTAGCTGGTATTATATTCTTCAGATACTAATAGAGCATATATGATTCCTCAAATTTAATGCTTTTCAATCCAGTCAACTAAACAGCACACTGTATTTCACACAGAATATTCCAGCACATATTTAACAATATTTGCGAGTGCTACGATAGTCATGTATGTCCAATTATTTGAATTTACCAACAATTAAGCTCAGAAAACATCAGTGATATAACCGAACTAAAGTACCAACTTGCTGCACTTGTTGTTTACGAGTCCTCCCTGACCCTCCTGTGAGTTTATATGGTGTGAATTTCTCTTGATTTCATCCTGATCAACTTTTGGGAGACTGAAATGCTGACTTACACCAAGATCTCACGCTATGTATTCACCTGTGCACATAGCCAAACATCCCATAGGCTGACTGTTAACTCCCATCCTCCTAGTAAAATGAGGGTAGTCCCCTCTTTAACGTCCTTCTCAGCTAGAAGTGGAAGTTTATCCTTGTAAGGTCAACAGAGAAGTTTTCTGCTACTTTTGCTGAACAAACCTCACAGCGGGACAGCACAAAGGTCGTACCATTTTCTCTGCGTCACTATCTCTACAAGAAAACATTCTGTATGGTATTCAGGGAAAAGCAAAAAATTGAGTACTTTGCTACACTGTCATGAAGGTCTCTCTTTTTCACATGTAAACAACGTTTCATGTCGGCTGTCTTCTTTCTATTCGAGGTAGATAGTGTGAATGTGGTCAAAATATAAAAATCTAGCGTTTTGTTAAATGAAAATCTAATTCTGCACTTTAGAACCACAATATTCTTTTTTCAACCAAATATTTGTCTTGTTTCAGCGCTCTGTCAGCAGCCCCTCTTCCCTTGTGTCTTCTTCTCCCTCTGTTTTTTTTCTTGTGCTTCACTTTCTCTTTCTCTGACTTACTTCCTGCCGTGTTGTCACTCTTCCCCTTTCAGTCACTTTCCCCCTGTCTACCCACTCACTCTCACTTTCTGCTGTCCCCATCCCTCTCTCTCTCTCTCTCTCTCTCTCTCTCTCTCTCTCTCTCTCTGATTGTGTCTGTATGTGTGTGTCTGTGCCATTTTCTTCTCCTTTCCCCCGCGGGTCGCGGGTTCAGTTTCTTTAAGTTCCTTTTCGGTTGTGGAGGGAAAGATGATGGCACAGTCGAGAACCGAGTACGGTGATTTCCTTTTATTTACACCATCTCCAAAAAAATACCCACAGGTGAAAACTCTTATGTACAAAAAATATTTACAAAAATTATTTACAAAAAAGACAGAGGAAAAACTATTTACAAACCGCAATTCAAATACCAGGACCAACATACGTCTGCTCAACCAGGAGGCACACCAACAAGTGAGCTGAGCTCCTTTAAATACCCCTTGGCCCCTCCTCCGGACAAACCAATCAAAACAATCTAGGGGTTTTTCAAGATATCAGCTATTATATCATAACTAATATTTCTACATACACAAAATAATACAAAGCAATTACTGTTGCTCACACCCTCCACATGGCTGAGCCAATATTAAACCCAAACACAATATTTTTCCTATAAATCAATTTGTTTCCGGACTTTGGTTTCTCCCTGGGTCACCTGACCCGCGGAGGCACGTCACCTAGTGCTACTTAACAGGTGACCCGGAACTGCCTCTGTTCAGTCCATGAAGCGGAGACAGAAGGTGAGTGTGTATGTGTGTGCGTGTACGTGTAAGCGAGACCCGTGTAGGTGTTTGAGTGTGCACCCTCTAACACCAACCACGGGGACGCAAGAGTCCAATTATTGTTTTTAAATGTTCATTTTGACTCCCGTCCGTCTGTCACTCCAGCCGCGAGTGACCACGCTATTCCCCCACGTCGGCGCCGAGCGACGAGGGAGAGCGAGAGGGAGAGAAGGCGTCCAGCCGCGAGAGAGAGCGTGCGTCCAGCCGCGAGAGAGAGAGCGGCCAGCCGCGAGGGAGAGAGCGGCCAGCCGCGATGAGGACGGCGTTAGTGGCGCCCCGCCACATTACCCCTCTCCTCCCCGAGGTTGGCGATGTGCGGCAACCTTGACAGATAGTCTGCCACAACATTGCTCTTGCCCGGCCGATGGTGGATCCGGAATCTGAATGGTTGGAGGGAGAGGTACCAGCGGGTGAGACGACTGTTGTGATCCTTCATCGAATGAATCCACGTCAGCGCCCGATGGTCAGTCTCCAAGTCAAACTCCCTCCCCAGCAGGTAGTATCTCATACTCTCCAGGGCCCATTTGATCGCCAGGCCTTCCTTCTCCACCGTGGAGTACCTGGTCTCCCGTGGCAGCAGCTTGCGGCTCAGGTACAGCACTGGTCGCTCCTCCCCAGGTTCACCTTGGGCCAGGACTGCCCCCAGTCCCACAGCTGAAGCGTCCGTCTGGACCAGGAACCGCTGTCTGAAGTCAGGGCTTCTCAAAACTGGCGAAGAGCACAAGCAGGCTTTGAGAGCGTGGAAGGCCGTCTCGCAGTCATTGTTCCAGATGACAGGGTTTCTCTGGTCCTTCGCTGTCAGAGCTGTCAGAGGCGCTGCGATGGTGGCAAACTGTGGGACGAACCTTCTGTACCAGCCGGCCAAACCCAAGAAGGACCTCACCTCCTTCTTGGTTCGAGGGCGTGGGCAGCTGCGGATGGCCTCCACCTTGTCCACCTGCGGCCGGACCTCCCCTCGTCCCAGCCGGTACCCCAGGTACTCTGTCTCCTCCTTAGCCCACTGGCATTTGGCTGGATTCAGTGTCAGGCCTGCCTGCTGGATCTGGCCCAGGACTCGCTCCAGGTGATGCAGGTGCTGCTCCCAGGTGTCACTGAAGATGACCACATCATCCAGGTAGGCAGCACTGCAGTCCTCACACCCCCGTAGAACCTGGTCCATCAGTCTCTGGAAGGTGGCGGGTGCCCCATGCAGGCCAAAGGGCATCATCGTGAACTGGAAGAGGCCGGAAGGTGTCTGGAACGCTGTGTAGGGACGACTGGATGCTTCCAAGGGTACCTGCCAGTAGCCCTTACAGAGGTCCAGGGTGGTGATGAACCTGGCCCGGCCAATCCTCTCCAGCAGCTCGTCGATCCGTGGCATCGGGTAGGCGTCAAACTCCGACATTGCGTTCAGCTTCCTGAAGTCGATGCAGATGCGGAGGGAACCGTCCTTCTTCACCACAATGACCACTGGGCTGCACCACTCGGACTGCGACGGTTCGATCACCCCCAGGCGCTGCATCTCTTCCACCTCCTTCAGGAGCTTGGCCACCAGATGTTGTGGCACCCGGTAACTCCTCTGGCGAACTGGCCCCTTGTCTTTCAGGTGGACCACGTGCTCGATGAGGCCGGTCCTCCCCGGGCTGGCAGCGAAGAGCTTGGAGACCCTCTCGAACACCTGGCACAGCTGGCTGGACTGGACAGCAGAGAGATGGCCCAGAGCAGGTTCAGCATACTGGTGGCGGTCGGCGAGGATACACTCCTCCTCCCCTTCACTGTCCCCCTCCATCACCAATAGGGCCGCCACAGGGCCCTGAGCTGGAGCCTCCTTCCACTCCTTCAGCAGGTTGATGTGGTAGACCTGCTTTGCCCTTTTCTTGTCCGGGTGGTGGATCTCATAGGTCACAGGGCCCATCTTCCGGAGGACGGTGTACGGGCCCTGCCACTTGGCAAGCAGCTTGCTGTTGGAGGATGGGAGGAGGAGTAGGACCTTCTGGCCGGGCTGGAACTCTCTGCGTCTGGCATGTTGGTCGTACCACGCCTTCTGGGCCTGCTGGGCTTCGCGCAGGTTGACCTCGGCCTCCTCCCGGTACTTTGCCAGCCGGTCCCTCATCTCCAACACGAATTGGACCACACTGCGGTCACTGGTGCCTGTTGCAGGAGCCTCCCACGTCTTTAGAAGCAGATCCAATGGCCCCTGTACCTCCCAGCCATACAGTAGTTCAAACGGGGAGAACCCCGTGGAGGCTTGGGGAACCTCTCGGTAGGCGAAAAGCAGGAAGGGTAACCACTGGTCCCAGTCTCGCCCGGTGTCAGACACAAATTTCTGCAGCATCTTCTTGAGGGTTTGGTTGAAACGCTCAACCAAGCCATCTGTCTGAGGGTGGTATGGGGTTGTCTTGATTGTGGAGACCCCCAACTGTCGGTGGAAGAGCTGCAGGAGTCTGGAGGTGAAATTAGTCCCCTGGTCTGTGATGATCTCGTCTGGAATACCCACCCTGGAGAACAGCTGGACCAGGCAACGCAACACAGCCGGAGCAGTGACCGTGCGCAGGGGAAAAGCCTCAGGGAAACGAGTGGCATAATCACAGACCACCAGGATGTACTGGTGCCCTCCGCTGCTCCTCACCAATGGGCCAACAATGTCCATGGCTATCCGCCTAAATGGAGTGGAGATCACGGGTAGTGGTTGGAGGTAGGCACGGTCTGATTGGCGGACAAAGCAAGTCTTCTGACAGGTGGGACAGGTTTTACAAAATGTTTGTACATCCGCATACATGGAAGGCCAGAAGAACCTTGCAGATATCCGCAGGTAGGTTTTGTTGCGACCAAGATGACCAGCCCAAGGCAAGGTGTGTGCCAGGTGCATGATCATCTGCCGACATGACACAGGAACCACCAGGCGTCTGACCTCATCTGTCATCGCATAGAGCACATTATTGTCCACAACAAACCAGTCTTTGTCCTTCTTTGCTAGGTCCTGTCCCCAAACCACCTTGGCGAACAGGGGCGTCAGAGTTGTGTCCTCCCTTTGTAAGGCCCCAATGTCCTCTGGCACATTCCATCTGTCCTTTGCCAGCCCCTTTTTTCGGTCTGGCTCCTGGGATTTCAGCCCCTTCTCAAACCGCCGCTGACGGCGGGACTTTCTGGGGCCCTTTGTGCCCCCCTCAAACAAACCACTGTCCAGGGTTGAAAAAAGTTCTGGCTCAGGGCCCTTTTCCTGCCCTGGGCCGGTTGCAATCCCCGCTCTGGCCTGGGCACGGGTGATCACCAGCCCAGACAACCCTTTCCCCAGGTCACTGGCTGTGGGTCCTGCCTCCAGCAGCACGTCCAGTAGCACTGGGAAGTCCCAACCCAGGATCGCAGCCACAGGCAACCTATCCACCACCCCCACAGTCAGCAGATAAGGCTGCTCGTCCACTACCACTGTCACCTCAGCTGTGGGGTAGGAATGGCTGTCCCCGTGTGCGCACAGAATGTCTTCCTGTCTGCTATAATCCACACTGCCCGTTGGCACCAGCTCCCTTCGCACCAGCGTCAGGAAGCTCCCAGAGTCAACCAAAGCAGTCACACATTCCCCATTTATGGTTATTTCCTTGAATCTTTGTTGCCGTCCCCCAGCACTTGCAACCTCCGCTCGGGGAGTGTAGCAGGCACTGCTAAGCTTGGCTTTTCTGATTGGGCACAGAGCAGCCTTGTGTCCTGCTTGCTGGCAGTAAAAACAAATAAGCTCCTTACCAGGGCTGCGCTGGCGAGGTGCGGACCGAGGTTCTCCTGCTGGATGCTGGCTGGCTCTGGCCGCTGGTCTGGGCTGTGATGAAACCTGCCGACTGGGTCCACCCTGGTTGACTGTCGGGCCTCCCCTCCGTGCGTTAAGGTACTGCAGTGCCAGCTTCCCTGCAGCTAGCCCATCCGTCGGCTCATGCTCCTTCACCCAGGTGCGGATGTCAGCCGGGAAGACCCTCAGCAGCTGCTCCAATATGACCTGCTCCCCGATCTGCTCCTTTGTATGCTGCTCTGGCCGGACCCATCGACGGTAGAGACCCTTTAAGCGGTGGTAAGTCTCTGTGGGGTTCTCTCCTGGTGGGACAGCCATGGACCGGAACTGCTGGCGATAAGTCTCCGGGGAGATGTCAAATTTCATCAGGAGCGCTGCCTTCAGGTCCGGGTAGGAGTGAGCCAGGTCCTCATCCATCGCTGTGTAAGCCTCCAGCGCCTTTCCAGTTAGCAGAGGCACCAGGCGACAGGCCCACTCACTGTCTGGCCAACCCCACGTTCTGGCAATGCGCTCGAAGCGGAGCAGGTAATTTTCAATGTCCTCTCCCGACAGATACTGAGGGATCTTGGGGTCACCCCAGGGTCGGCTCTCAGACCTAGGAGGTTCTGCCAGGCTACTTGCCCCAATCCTTGGTGCCTCCACGGGAGAACTGCGTCGTGGCCGAGGAGCTGGAGTTGGTAACTCAAGACGGAGGCTCATAGTTGATCCAGCAGATGGCGGAGTGGTTCTTGGTGCTGGACTTGGTGTTACCGGCCTCCGTTCTGCTTCAGGCTGCTGCAGTGGAACTGGTAAGGCAGCTCGAAGCCCTCTGAGCTCTGCAAGCAAGCCCTCCTCTCTCCTCTGCTGCCCCTCCAGGAAAGTTCTCATCACTGTAAGCAGCTCCGCCCCAGCACCTGAAGTTCCCGGGTCTGCCTGCCAGGAAGGCCCAGCAGCACCCTCTTCATCCTCATCCTCTGTGGCCCAGGCTGCTTCCTCCACAGCTTCTTCCACTTTTTGTGACCGCAGTCCGGTCCGTCTTCCTGTGAACCGGATGCGTCCCCTTCGACTGGCCATCCCACTTCTGACACCAAATGTCGCGGGTTCAGTTTCTTTAAGTTCCTTTTCGGTTGTGGAGGGAAAGATGATGGCACAGTCGAGAACCGAGTACGGTGATTTCCTTTTATTTACACCATCTCCAAAAAAATACCCACAGGTGAAAACTCTTATGTACAAAAAATATTTACAAAAATTATTTACAAAAAAGACAGAGGAAAAACTATTTACAAACCGCAATTCAAATACCAGGACCAACATACGTCTGCTCAACCAGGAGGCACACCAACAAGTGAGCTGAGCTCCTTTAAATACCCCTTGGCCCCTCCTCCGGACAAACCAATCAAAACAATCTAGGGGTTTTTCAAGATATCAGCTATTATATCATAACTAATATTTCTACATACACAAAATAATACAAAGCAATTACTGTTGCTCACACCCTCCACATGGCTGAGCCAATATTAAACCCAAACACAATATTTTTCCTATAAATCAATTTGTTTCCGGACTTTGGTTTCTCCCTGGGTCACCTGACCCGCGGAGGCACGTCACCTAGTGCTACTTAACAGGTGACCCGGAACTGCCTCTGTTCAGTCCATGAAGCGGAGACAGAAGGTGAGTGTGTATGTGTGTGCGTGTACGTGTAAGCGAGACCCGTGTAGGTGTTTGAGTGTGCACCCTCTAACACCAACCACGGGGACGCAAGAGTCCAATTATTGTTTTTAAATGTTCATTTTGACTCCCGTCCGTCTGTCACTCCAGCCGCGAGTGACCACGCTATTCCCCCACGTCGGCGCCGAGCGACGAGGGAGAGCGAGAGGGAGAGAAGGCGTCCAGCCGCGAGAGAGAGCGTGCGTCCAGCCGCGAGAGAGAGAGCGGCCAGCCGCGAGGGAGAGAGCGGCCAGCCGCGATGAGGACGGCGTTAGTGGCGCCCCGCCACAGTGTCTGTGCCATTTTCTTCTCCTTTCCCCCCCCTCTCTCTCCATCCTATTCATGCTCCTTTCACAAGATCCTTGCAGAGTGAAAAAGATAATTCCCTGGTTCTCTGCAGAGAGATGGGAAGCAAAAATAGAGAAGGTTACCTTTCATGTTCAGTTTTTAAAGGAATGTTTGAGATTTCCCCGAGATGATTAAATAGGAACGGTTCTGACAAGGTCACGCAGACTTACACGTATAGACACACACAAGTACACACTGAGAGAGAGCTTGGTCCAAAACACCTTTGGGATGCGTTGCTTCTTTTCTGAAACATGAAAACTGGAGAAAAGAAGAGGAAAACATTTATGTCCGGGTGAAAAACCGCAGGAGAACCAGGACAGACTACAGTGTCTACCCACGTAGAAGCACAGGCAGCAAAACTGATTGACTGTTTCCTTCATTGTGCTGGCGTTTATCACCTTTCATCCTACTTGTAAGAACACCAACATAAATGTTTTATACCTCTGTTTGTGTGAACAGGCCGCTTGCATTTCCATGCGTACCTCTGTAACATTTATTCATGTGTTGGTGTGTGTGTGTGTGTGTGTGTGTGTTTACAGCCTTATTAAGGTTTAACTTTTAGCTTTAAGCAGCATTGTTTCCCCTGAGACCAATTATCTGACAGGGTTAAGGAAACTCTCTACTACCAAAGAGGGGAGATCGTGTGGTTTTGACAACACTCCAGCATGTTTCCTCGGGCTCGCCGCCGAATGTGTTTGTGTGTATATATGAGCACATGTATGTATTATTTATCATCAGAATCCCCGTCAGCGTACATATTAGCTACTAACATGGCTTTCCAGGGCGTTCCTCTGATCATGTTTATTGCCTTAAAAAGTCTGCAACAACATGGCACGAGAAAGCCGCAGAGTGAGTAATGCTGTATGTCTGAGCATGAGAGTGAGTGTGTGTGAGTGTGTGAAGGGGTGTCACATACTGCAAATTGCTGTCAGTCATGGTGTTAAGGTATTCTGGATGGGTCCCAGCCACTTGGTAACTATAGCGAAGAGTGACAGAGGTGCTGTGGGACAAAGTGGAGTTGGCGTTTTTGAATGAGTTATCCCGAATTCAGACTGCGTCCGTCTCTAGAGGCCTGGATGAATGGCCTGATTCTCTCTCTCTCTCTCCCTCTCTTTCCACCTCCTTTATTCTCCCTGACTTTCCAGTTCTTTCTCTCCTCCACTTTCAGTCTCTTTCAAACTTTCTCACCCTCCTCTCTCTCCCAAAATCCTTACATTGTGTCTGTTTCTCTCTCTCTCTCTCGCTTTATCTTCCCACTTTGGCTGTCCCCTTCTCCTGTCTTCCCTACTTTTTCCACCTCACTCCTTTAACTCCTTCATCCCTCTCTCTACCATTCTTTCCATTTTGTTCTGTTTTGCATCCCAACTATTTGAAAGTTGTTTTTTCCAACAATGGATCACACTCAGAGAGCTCCAATCTTGTTTCCATAGCGAGTGAAGAGGCATTTACACTCTCGAGTAACCCAGCTTTCACTGCTGACAGTTTTCCTTCACACTTGCTTTTTTATCTTTCTTTATATTCCTCTATTTCTGCCTCTTTTCTGTTGCTGCTAGAAACCAGATGTGCTGAATTGATTACAAACTGGGAAATTGTGAAATAAGAGGTGTGCTGGGTGTGCTCATGTTACCTGCCTTGAACAAATGACCTAGATCTGACTTCAGGAGTGTTTTTAGCGCCTGTGTGATCTGCGCAGATGTTAGCTTCAGCTGGCTAGACACGTACTGTATGGATGCAGCTCTGTGTGGGTTAATGTGACAGTCGAGATGAAAACTGTCGTCTCAACTTTTTGCAATGTTCTGTCTGGTCTTTACATTTTTTGATAGCTGCTACATATTGAATAAGAGTTGGACGTTTTGTACAAATTTCAATGTTTCAGCTCTCAAAGTTGTCGTCTGTGCTTTTCCCCACATTCTCTTACATCTATATATTGTCTTCATGTGTATTGTTGTCGTCTCAAATGCAGTCTGAACGCTCCATAAAGCTGTCAGTATGCATCATTGAGCGACATCTGAACACACACACACACACACACACACACAACACACACAACACACGCGCGCCTTTCAGGAAATATCTCTAACTTTCTGAAAGCAACAATCCAACAAACACACCCACCTCACTTCACACGGCAACTGGCTGCGATCGGAGGAGGTGAGAAAGTGTGCGATTAAAGCTTCGATCTCAAGCTGTCTTTCTTCATTCCTCACACACAAATACTTTTTTTTTTGTGAACAACCAAGTGCAACACAATGGTTGCCTTTGATGAATTACTGTAAGAAGAAGAAAAAAAAAGAAAGATGCAATGAAATGTTAGTATCGCATCTGGCCCCTCTCTTTGGCAGTAGGTTTTCTGGCTAACCTTTGAATGTGGCCTTTCAGAGCAACAATACTTACACTCCTGTCTTTGGAAATCATCAGAAGACACTTTGTTCGACTGGTTATTTCCAGCACACCCAGGCTGACGACCTCAGCATCTCTCCTTATATATTTCCCTTTGCTTCCTCTTGCCACCCTCCTCCCTCTGTGTGCGTCACTCACTCCCTCTCCGTTCTATCTTTTTCTCACCTCTACCGCTAGCTTCACCTTAATGACCCTCCAGAGTCCCACTTCCTCCCCTCTCTCTCCTCTGTGTCCCTTGTACTTAAAGTCTCTTCCTATCTCTCTTCCTTTCCGTTCTATACTTTTATCCTCCTTACTTCCTCTCCTCCCTAAGGTCCCCTTGGATGAGGAAGATGCAGTCTGTATTTTTGGCCAGAGACGGGGATTAGCAATAAACAAAAAATAAGAAATAAATAAATAAAAAGGGTTTGGTCCAAAGAAGCTTACATATTTCCACCGAGACACATGCACAGAAGCAGCTATATGAAAAAACCTGCTCACACAAACACAAAGATCAAAGTATGCATTGTAAATTCAAGCGACATACACAATCTTGCATGTGTACGGACATCCTGCACACAGACATGCCTGTTTTTTAAACTCTCTGGGGACTGGAAGGGTACACAGGATAGGACACACACAATCACGTAGCTGGCAAACAAGTTCACGTGCAGTCTATAATTAGAATAGTGGTCAATGTAAAGCTCTGCAGAGTCAGCAGCTTACAGACACACGCATAGACAGAGGCCGTGTAAAGAGACGAGCAGAGAAGCAGGGAGTGTTATTAAGTTACCATTATGCCTCTCCTCTGTTTTCTGTCAGGGCTCTCTCTCTGTTAACAGGAAAATGAGAAAAACTGAAGGTATGAGGCTGCAGTCATGTGACGGCTGTGCTTCCTTTAGTCACTGTCTCTTTTAGTATAAGGTGCAAAGAGGGAGCTACCCAATCTACCACCTCTTGGTCTTTGTGTGTCAGCAAAACAAATGAAGACTCCCAAGAGCAAATCTGATAATATAACCTCCTATTTTTCATCAAATCTGTGTGCTCTTACTCTCACAGCTGTTTTTTCCATAATGCTGAACCTTTTTCAAATAACATCTACAAACTTATGTTATGAGCCTGTATTGTTTCTTTTTTTCCTAATAGCCATAACTTGAGAAAGGTGATGTGACATTTCTCATGTCTTAGTTTGTATGTGATAGCAGTTTGTATGAAGAGCAGAATATACTGTATTACTAAGATAAGATAAGAAGAACTTTATTTATCCCCAAGGGGAAACCTTTATTTATACCTTTATTATATATTATTTGTATTATTGTATTACCTTTCTATAGTTTTCTGAATAATTAAGATATGGCTTTAAGCAATATTTGCCGTGTTCATGTCATACATTTTTGATATGAAGTGAACTGCTTTTATGTCTTTGATAGAACCCTGAATAGCTATGGGACAGGAAAAGTCATCCTCACCGAGACACTTTAATTTCTTTATGGAAAGAAAAATCATCTTAGAGTAGTCCAGTTAAAAACAGATGTTTGGTTGGTGGGCCATGTTGTGGTCATGGGTCGATGATGACGTCCTAGGCTCCTAAAATAAATATGATATCCCACTCTTTAAACTTTCTGACTCATATTGACCTGGAGCTAGCCTCCAGTTCTGATCTAAGTCTGCTATAGTTGATCAATTCTGTACATGAAAAAACCTACAAAACTCTAGCATAAGTAGCTGTTAACGGCATTTAAAATGTTAACGCCAGCTACCCTGCTCTTTATGTCTTTTAAGTAATTTTATGGTGCAATATCATAACTGTAAATGCTTCCAGGTGGCACACCATTGGTCCCGTGAGCTATGTCATTTTAGAACCTGCACTCAACCAAGGAGCAGCAAAGTCTGGTCTCTCTGAATTTTTTATTTATTTTTTATATATATAATATTTTGTCAATTACTGAGGGGTATTTCTGCTGGGAGAGCAGTTTATTCAAGAGTAGTGCTTCTTTCATTGAGACAGTGCAAATCTGGATGACAACATCTAATTCCTGCAGACATCTGGGGGTGTTTTTATGGTTGCTGTGCTGGTGCAAAGGTGGAGGCAAAGTTGAAGGCCTGGAAATGGAGATAGAAGCCCTTTCTTCCATTCATCCATCCAGATATTAGTGAAGAGTAAGAAAGCATACAGTGAGTGCAGTTTCCTGGTTGAAACAAAACAACCGGACTCCAGAGTGGATCTACCTGACTTCACTCTTATAAGGTCAGACAAAGATGATGAAGCTAGTGGCAAGAAGAAAGGAGGAGGTCTGGCCTATTTGTCAGCGAGAGATGGTGTAACTCCTCACACAAAACCATCAAGGAGAAGTTGTGTTGCCCAGATGTTGAACTGTTGGCGGTTGCCCTTCACCCATATTTTGTTCCAAGAGAGTTCAGTCAAATCATAACAATACATGTATACATCCCAACCAAGGTAACGGCTGAAGTCCCTTGTGATGTCCTCCATAATACTGTTGCAAGGATACAGGCTCAACATCCTTAGGCACTTTTACTAATATCAGGAGACTTTAACCATGCCACCCTCTCCTCTA